AAAAAAAAAAAAAAAAAAAAGCAACACAAGAAGTATCTGATATAAAATTATTTTTGAGTTTTGTACATTTTGATCAAATGAATCTATTTTTCAAGGTTTTTGTCTCAATTATCTTACATGTACTTGTCTTCCTATATGTAGTACATTATATCATTTCTACTTGAGATAAATATTTTGAAAGAACATTTAATAATTACCCTTTAAAAACATTCTTAGGTTTAATTTATTACTAAAGTTTTTCAGAATTTTTTTTTTTTTTTTGCTTAAGTCTTTTAACATTATGTTAATTGTTTTTAAGAATGTAGAGGGGCCAGGGATTTAGCTCAGGGACTGGGGATTTAGCTCAGCGGTGTTGCTGCCTACTTCACAAGCACAAGATCCTGAGTTCGATCCCCAGTACTGCAAAAAAAAAAAGTCAAAGGGCCATGGATTTAGCTCAGTAAGCCGGAGATTCAGCTCAGTGGTTCTGCTGCCTGCCTCACAAGGGCAAGGTCCTGAGTTTGATCCTGGGTACCAAAAAAAAAAAAGAATGTAAAAGGCACTGGGCATGGTGTGACCTGACTATAATCCCAGCGCTTGGAAGGCTGAGGCAGAAGAATTGCCATGAGTTCGAGGCCAGACTGTATAACTATATAACAAGACCCAATCTCCAAAAAATAAAAATAAATAAATAAATAATGCAAAAGGTGAAGTGTAAAAAAGAAAATGGCCCATAACCTTACTGTCCAAATAACCTGCTGATGGTTTAAAGATAGGAGTTCTACATATAGATATTTAACAATCTAAGCAGTAGAGGAAGGTAGACATTGCAAAGTAAAAGTTACCCTCCTCTCTCACCCCTTCCTCTATCTACAAGTGACTGAAATTATTTTTTATTGTTCCACCTGATAAAAAAATTTAAGTTTTGCCCCCTTGTTTTGATCTTTTGGATTTGAGCCGGGAATGGTGGCACATGCCTATAACCCCAGAATTTGGGAGGCTGAGGCAGGAGGATCGCCTTGAATTCAAAGCCAGCCTGGGCTACATAGCAAGATCCTGTCTTTAAAAACCAAAAGCAAAAATTATCTTTTTTCCCCAAACTTCAGAACAATTATACCTGAGCTTATTTCAGAAAAGACTTGACTTTCTGTTGCAGGGCTTTTTGCAGAAAAGCCCTAGAAGTATTCCCCTTACTCCTTCAGGTACTCATGAGATGAAAAGCAAATGATCATAACCGGCTTTTTTTTTCTTAGCCAACTGGACTGAGAAACAAAATCTGGCCCAGTTGCTGGTTTACTGCTAGGGAGCCAAACTTAGCATTGTGTCCTGGTGTCACTGGCCACCGGGATTTAAGATGTCTGCCTGGCAGCTTTCCCTCTAACTACCCAGGACTTGGTCAGTTCAGTGCAAATACTGAACACCAGACTCTGAGCCTGGCCAGAAGTGCAGGCCCGCACGCTATGGGGTGGACAGGGTGGGCTTGGGGCCCTGGGACTGTCCTGGCCCTGTGATTGCAGGGAGTAACTGGGCAGAGCCCCAGGGCTCCAAGCTCCAAACATCTTATTTGCATCTTATTTTATCACATACTTTATTATAGCATGTAAGTTGCACATTTTAACAAGATTCAGCATGGTATTTCAGCACACGCACTCATCAAATCTAACCTCTCTTTACATCCATCTCTTCCAAAGCCTTAGGAATCACACTCACAAAGTTTGACTTCTTTTTTTGTCGTTGTTGTTTTGGTTTTTGTTTTCTTTTGTTTTTTTGGAGATAGGCCCTCACTATGTAGTTTAGGCTGGCCTTCAACTCACTGTGTAGCCCAAGCTGGCCTTAAGCCCACAGTGATCCTCTTGTCTCAGCCTCCTGAGCACTAGGATTGCAGGCATGAACCACCATACCTGGTTTGATTTATTTTTTTAGCTTCCAAATGTGAGAAAATAATAAGTGGTATTCACCTGCATCTGGCACAGAATTTTCTCCAGTTCTGCCCATCTTGCTGCAAATGACAGGATTTCACTCTTCAATCCCATCATCTACGTACTACATAATATCCCATTGTGAATATACTCCTTTTTATTTTTTTTTTGGTACCAGGGATCAAACTCGGGACCTTGCGCTTGCAAGGCAGGTAGTAGAACCACTGAGCCAAATCCCCAGCCCATACTCCCTTTTTTTACCCATTCATCCACCAATCGACACCCAGCTTCATTCCCAATATTAGCTACTGTGAGTAGTGCCATAATAAAAATGGGCATGCAGGGATCTCTTTGGTCTGCTAATTTCATTTCCTATGGATAATATACTCAGAAGATAAATAACTAGATCATATGGTAGATTCATTTTTAGTTTCTTTTTTCTTTTGTACCGGGGATCGAACTCAGATCCCTGCACTGGCAAGGCAGGAGCTGGAACCACTGAGCTAAATCCCCAGCTCCATTTTTAGTTTCTTGTTTCTTTCTTTCTTCATTCATTTATTTATTTTTGATTTTTTGTTTTCTAGTACTGGGGATTGAACTCAGGACCTTGCGCTTGCAAGGCAGGTGTGATGCCACAGAGCTAAAACCCTGGACCTATTTTTGATTTTTGAGACAGGGTCTTGCTATGTAGCCCAGGGTGGTCTTGAACTCACAATGATCCTCCTGCCTCAGCCTTCCAGGTGCTGGGATTACAGTTGTTCACCAAAGAGGCATTTTAAATGTAATTTAAATTATTAATACTTTCTAAACTTTTTTCTCACTAAATGTATATATAAAATATTTAAACTATCTCACAAGGAAGCATAGACCCAAATAATATAAATACACCCTGTACATATAAAATCCTATTTGCTCTTCAGTCCCATCACCAATTTTGCAGAAGTTTTTGTTGAAATTTAGAGTAAATTTCCATTTTTCCCTGATACCAATCTGCTGTTTTTCAAACCAACTGGGCGAGGTTGTATTTATTTGGATATTATATTTATTTTAGTAAACGGACTAAAAAAATGCATTGCATTTTCAGGGGCCTTTGCACTGAGCTACCTCTCTTACCCTTTTTTTTTTTACTTTTTATTTTTTGAGACAGGGTCTCACTAACTCAGTGAGTTGCCCAGGCTGGGCTCGAACTTGGGATCTCCCGCCTCAGCCTCCCAGAGTGCTCTGGTTAAAGTTCTCTGGTTATGCAGTTTGGTTATGCTTATGCAGTTTGTATTAGAGAGCTTTCCCCTTGCTGATACAAAATACCTAACACGCATCACGTAAAGAAGGAAGTGGTTTATTGGGCCCACAGCTCAGGCTGCCACCGAGGAAGGAACATGGTGGTGAAGGGTAGGCTCCTCCTTTAAGGCAGCCGGGAAGCGGAGCCTGGGGAAGAGCTCCAGCAGGACTCCACAGGCACCCCAGCAGCCACCTCTGGTGGGCACAGCCAGCTATTCAGCACCTCATAATCCAGTCACCCCTGCCGGATTCTCTTAATCGCATCAAGTTGACGATTAAAACTAAGCGTTTAAATGTCTTTGTGTCTTGTTTTAAAGTAGGGGCTTGATTTTCCCCCCCAAGGTAACGCATCAGTTTTAGCAAGAAAAATCCAGTAGTGACAGAAGGAGCAAGGTTTCATTATTTGCGATTTGCTTTCCACACGATATCTAAGCTTCACGCCATCTTTTCAGTGGGCTCTAACTCGACCTTTTCGCAGATGAATTAACTGGGATTGGTGGATTTTTTTATCCTGTCCCAAAGGGCACAGCTAGCGGGGGAGGGCTGCTGCAGAGCCCGGCTCGCGTCTCTGCGTCTTCTGGGAACCCTGGCAGGCGGGCCTTTGTTCTCCTTGCAGTCACAGGTGCAAACGCTAATCCTCTCGCACCCATCGGTTTTCAGGGTGTTTGCTCAGATGGTGCGCACCTCCAAGTGGAAACTTCCCTGGCCTCCACCCTACTGAGGCATCAGCGCAGGCCTGTGCCCTCCCGGGGTGGCATTCTGTGATTACTGAGCCCTGCTGGTGACTGGGCACTCACGGAGTGAGTTAGCAATCTGGTTGCCAAGGCAACACTTTCCTGGTTGGGATCGCACAGACTGTGCTGCCAAGGACAGCGGCATCCAATCTTTCCTCTGTGTTTCTGCTTCTGAGCTGGATAAACAGTGGCAGAAAAAAGGATTAAGGTGGAATCCAAATGCTGTAAAATGCATGCCTGCAGACTGTAGAGTCCCAGTAAGGTGTAGCAGTCTTTCCTCCAAATCACTTGTTATTTGCCAGTTGGTCCGTTTCTGTTTATTTTTTATTTGTA